GTTAAGACCTCATAGGCTGCGTGTTTTATACCTGATGAGAAGACAAGACCTCACAGGCTGCGTGTTTTATGCCTGATGAGAAGTTAAGACCTCATAGGCTGCGTGTTTATGCCTGATGAGAAGACAAGATCTCATAGTCTGCGTGTTTTATGCCTGATGATAAGACAAGACCTCACAGGCTGCGTGTTTTAGGCCTGATGAGAAGTTAAGACCTCATAGGCTGCGTGTTTATGCCTGATGAGAGACAAGACTTACATACTTTGAAAGGCCCAAAAAAGTCGGATCAGAAATGTCATTTTCCACGTTACGAGAAAGCTTTAATCTTCCTCCTCTCGTGACCGCCCCCCCCCGTTCTGATAACAGGATGTGCTCTTTAGCCTAATTAAGCACATTCATTAAAAACTAATGAGTGGAAATTGTAGATTGCTTGTGTGCAGGATAGCTAGAAAAGCCAGAAAAGTCGGAGCAGAAATGTTCTTTTCCACGTTAGGAGAAAGCTTTAATCTTCCGCCTCTCGTGCCCCCCCCCATTCTTATATATAGTACATGACGGAGTTTCTTGTACATGTATATGATTGTATATGATATATCTGGCATATGTATGTTAACAATCATAAAATTTCCTGAAATGTTACCCTTCGGAAAAGCTTCCATTTCTCCATATAATCATGAGGTTAAATCAAACCTGCTTGACACATTGCAAAATGCCCCATTGTAATCCTATCGGATATGATCATAATTTACGTAATTTACAAAATACTCCCAAAAATATTTGGCAAAAAAATTATGTCTCCGTGCTTTGTAATGTAATAGAGGGGCAGCGAGTAGGCAAAAATGTGTGTAACGGGACACGGCATTGAATTTCAGATATTGCCCCTCCCCCGCACACTGAAATGGTACAGTCCGCCTGTGGTGACCGCCTATTGTGCCCGCCTCTCGTTGCCATACTCCAGTACTCGCGTCACCCCTTACTCACATAGTCTATCTCGCAGATAGGATGTCGTAACTGGAAAAAACGCTAGGTGCGCTTTTTACAAAACTGTCTCTAATCTGCCATATCAGACCAACACCTGGATGTTCACACTGACGTTTTCTTTAGTTTTGGGGTAGTCGTGCATGTACCCTGTGCCATCATCCATAGTGACTATTAAGGATGACACCCAGGTTATATGCCCTGCATAATTAAGCAAAACTTTTCAAAATTCTGACGGAAAATGGTTAGTTGAAGGGCCCCGGGCTGATTTTTAGAGTACCACCCAGAAAATAAAGGACTCATCCTGGGGCTTGTTTCTGCAGTTTTGAATGCTCAAAGTATGAAACGCCAATTCAAATGTGCTAATGTGAAGCAGTATGTGTCAGTATCACAAAGATTGACTTGTTCAGAATATTTCCAGTTTTGCTGCCCTGAAATCGCATTGAATGCTTTTTGCCTTGCCGGTGGTTGGTTCTGTCACGGTCTGCTTGTATTTGAAAATTCTACGTCAAAATCGTAAGACACCTCACGACAAATCTGACCTCACCGTTGGCGAAAAATTCTAAGAATATGTCTGGCGAGTTCTCAAAGTTAACCGATCTTTAGTGTTGTTGTTATACAGTGCTTTTCTCGGGGATTGTAAAAAGCTCTTTTTGTACAGTCACTTTGAAAAGATAAACAATGTCTACAATTCTATACCTTGTTGTGGTATAGACTCACACAAGTCAGAAAGATCCAGTCAAAATAGAGTAGAGCAAGACAAAACTCACCACTTGAGTTCGAAGCATGGTGCAGCAGAGAAAACTGCCTTTCTAACAACCTGTCTATCGCTGGGACTGACGTAGATGTAGAGAGTACCTTACGGTGTATTTGCAAAACAAATTTGCGCAAGACCTTAGGAACGAACCATTCATGAATGTGGTGTGTGTGTATGTGGATGACACTGTACACACGAAACACAAATTGTACCAGAAAACATACCTAATTATATACGGATGAAAAACATCAGGAAGAAAACTTTTTTTCAAAACGAACGATTTAGAATTTTTAACTTGAAATGATTTTCCTTTTTATCCACCCCTTCGCCACGGTTGTTTCTAACCCATGCCCTTATTATTTGTACATAGGGTCAACATCTGTAATATTCCCACAGTTGTTTTATTGCGGCTGGATACCGATCGTCCAGCAGAAGCAGTGCCTCCTGTTGGAAAGGAAATGTACTGCATTAGCTTCTTCCCTAGACTGGACTCTAATTAGGTCTACACAAGACCGATATTATTTGCATATCAATCAACAGTTTCGAGCTCTCTCCAGTATATCACTGACGAAAGATGGTGGATGCTACCTGAAGTTGTTCTGACTGTTTCTAAAGTCATATCCAGTTGCTTGAGTAACTGTTTTGGCCTATCTTATTACCTGGATGTCTAGCCTCCACCGACCGATTTGTGAGGGGTGAAAAGATACAAGAAACTGGACTAAAAGCGAGTGCAGGCTTCTCCAAACAGAGGTGAGGAATTCCCTATACAATTAGAATGAACTTGCAAGAAATAACACACCAGGCATATCATGTTTCCATATATGATTCCTATGATGTTCTAAGATTAACAAATCAGCCAATATACCATATGCCTGGCCCTGGCAAAGGTGGTTTGGGCCTTGTTTCAAATGCATGTATACAGCATTTGCGTTCTCTATGAAGACTTGTTGTGTTTTTACTTCTACTGACACTGTTACAACATGGTGATCCACTGTACTATCGGTTGCCTGGTAACGTTGGTTGCCTAGCAACAATCTAAATTTACGTTCTCTAAAGCTTCGCTGTGTTCTTTACTAAGGCTTCTACTGATACTGTTACAACATGGCGATCCACTATGGTAGAACCGCAGTGCTGTCGGTTGCCTAGTAACCCCGGTTGCCTAGTAACAGTCTAAGAACAACAGGTTGTTGGGCGTGTCTTCATCCGGGATCTCTTGCACCATGTCCTTACTGGACCTAAAAGTAAAGAAATAGAATTAGAAGGATATTTTCTTCACATGATATCAATACGGAATCATCATCATACAATATAACCAGTGTTTATTTTGGAAGTGTTTTCATTTATATGTACATGTTCTATCATATTGCTGTCTGGTGTTCAGATATTTGTTATGTAACCGAATGATCTCGCGATCATCTAAAAGCAAGAGCAGCGATATTTGAGACATTTCATAATCAAAGTAATGATACTTGGTATGACCATGATATGTTTCCGTTGCATTTTACCAACAGAAGTGGTTGGCTGTACATTTCAGTAAGACGAGTGATCCTACACCAGTTTGTACCTATTCATGCCAACGGTACCACCCTTCCTTTGCCGCCCCCTAGCGATTGTGTTTGGTTTGGCAAGTATTAACTTTTGCAACTTACAAGCCGACTACCCAGTTCCGGACTGTCTCCGGACTGATGATGCCGGTGGAATCCCGGAAGTAGCTAAGGTAGCGGGCGATCACTCCAGCCTGAAACAAGAAATCGGAAATTTCAGTCTTGTGTGCTTTTGTAAATGTATTCATCCATTATTGTTTTAGAATTAATTTTTAATCAGAAGATTGTACGTCGTAACTTGCATCATGGTTTATGTTTCATAACATGATTAAACAGTACACATTCCTGACGTCCTAATGCCACATCCTACCACCCAAGGCATGCCGGGACACAACCCTGTCAATCAACTTGTACCCAATCTCCGCCCACTCCTAATTTTTGCCGCTGAGGACGAGATACATGAAAATGCACCTACGGTTACATTACGATTCGCCACGAGCATTACAAGACAACTGCTTAAACTTTGCAATGTTATCTGGCGGCATATACACAGTGCAGTGCTGCCACCTAGCGATTTATTTACGTACCACATGCGGCGCAGCCTGCGAGGTGCCGGTCATGCTCATGACGGAATAGTTGCTGTTGATCCAGGCAGACTGGATGTCTTCTCCCTTACAAAAGAATTACAACAACATATGGTAAATCTTAAAACTGGAAGTACTGCATTTCTGAGATGACGAAATATTTTCTTATACATTCTGAGGTACATTTTTCTAGAGCAAATTGATATTTCAGTTGGTATTGGAAAAAAATGGTATTTCATGATACCTCAGGTGTGAAAAATGCCTTTCCCAAGGACACAGCGTCCAGACAGGAATAGAACCCGTTACCTTTTAATATCGTACCGGCTAGCCTAACTACTAGATCATTAAATCCGCGACAAAAATTATAGTTTCCCACACCGGGAATCGAACCCGGGCCTTGGCGGTGAGAGCGCCAAATCCTAACCACTAGACCATATGGGATGTGCGTGTGCCAAGGAAAATTTGACCCTACTCACGGGTGCAAGGATGTCCACGCATGTACCGTAGTTGGAGAAAGTTGTAGAGAACTTGTCGACAGCATTTGTGGCGGCAACTGTTATTCTGTGAAGGAATAAAGAAATGGTAGAAATCAGAACACTTGGTCCTGCCATTGGAAGGCATTTCAGCACCATACTGAATAATCTGTCAATGTGGGAGTTGTTAAATCGGGGGGGGGGTTGTTTTCGTGTTGTTGTTTGTTTGTTTGTTTGTTTGTTTGTTTGTTAAATCAGTGGAACAGCAGTGCAATTTCTGTGTTTTATTCCAGGAACAGACCAAAATCAAATGCAATGCGTGCGCAGACGTCATCCATGGCCTTAAATTTTCACACAGGGCAGGGTCACTGCAAAAAGGGACAGATCATTACTCATAGGGGAGCGTCGCTGGAACAGGGACAGATCATTACTAACCACGCAAAAAAATCTACTTACGCGGCCTCGGCACTGGCAGGGGAGGCGCTACAGGCGTCTGTCTGATCGTTTCCCGCCGAAACCACAAAGATCATGGACTGGAAAAAACAGCCCATGGAGACATTACCGTACATTCAACACTGATCTTCTAACCTGTGCATTGTCATTCGCAGGAACGCCATCTAGCGACTCATTTCGAAAACCAATGGAAGACTTCACCTACATTCATGAGAGCTACATGTATGCCGTTGATACAGTTGAATCATCACAAGAAATACTGTAAGTATACCACATTTTAGATGCATATGATTCGTGCTAGATACATAGAAATCATTTCAAATGGCTGCTCTTGATTTAAGACATTCTCGGGGGGGGGGAGGGTATTCACCCTGACATTATACCAACAAGGCATCATGACGCGCAAGCGCAGACGTATTTATGAACCCCATAATCGCAAAATAACCTCCTTGATTACCCAGAACTCACCTCGTTGGCGGCTGCAGCAATGGCGGCGTTGAGCGCAGCAGAACGCGAAGTTCCAAGCGACATACTTGAATAAAGAACGCAGTAAATTACACCGAGCTACAAACAGATATACAATATTTAGTAGCACGCTTTCTATAGACTGTTTACTTTCTACCATTCAACAACAACAACTTCTTTTTGTTTCAATTGCAATGCCAGCACTAGTACTGGAATTTTAGAACACTCCTTTACAATTAGCAAGTACAAAACAACAAGAGTTTCCCTCACTTGGTGATGGCCTTGTATGTTGGCTTTTTCTCCTTGTGTTTTTTGACGTCTTTAGTGATCCACTCAATAGCTAGTATCAGATTACTGAAAATAATAAAATAATGTATCTCATTGCAATATTCCATACTGTACAATGTACATGTACAATTTAGTCATAAATTTGTGGACTTACCAACTACCAAGTATCTAGCATCTTCAAAAAAAGAGAACAAGAAATAGCCATGCCTTCAAGTAAATACCGAGGCTTGAGGTGTCTTAGAGCTAGTGGACAGTTGAACTCTTTGCCACAAAGTACAGTAGGGGCATCATCACTAGACAGCCCTGTATTACTTACTCTGTCTTGCCGGAGCTGTTTTGGTTCATTGTCCGCACGGCCACCAGTTTCACCTTCTTCGCTACTCCGAATGTCTTCCCGCCAATTATACCTGAATGGCAGAGAGAGAGAGAGAGAAAGGGGAGGGGATAGATAGAGTGGGGTAGATAGATAGATAGATAGATAGAGAGATGATATAACCAAATGTCCCAAACATACAATATACATAAGAACCAAATACCCACTGAACTACATTTGTACCATCTTTGAAGTATGAAGAACGTATTCTTACCCGCCACATGTGTCCCGTGTCCGTTCCTATCCGTAAATGGGGAGGGGTCATCAACAAAGTCCACACCCTAAAGCATAATGGGTGAAATATGATGTTAAAATTTAGGCCCTTTTTAATATCTCAGCTTTTCGTCGAAATATGACAGAAAAATCTTGACATAAATAAGGAAAGGAAATTAAACCTTAAGTCATCTTGGGCAGCATAAATCGAAAAGTTGTGAATGGATCTTTGTGTTATCTTTTATGTGGGTAGGTGTCAGTAAAATTCGTTTTGGAGCTCCCCAGTCCCTTTCTATTGTAATGTAGTAGAACGTTCTGCTTTTATATCTTTCGCACGTGTTTAAAACTTACCCAGGAAGCTCTTCCCTCAAACTCTGTGTGCTGAGTGTTGATTCCACTAAAGAAGGGTGAAAATATTATAGCGATGACCACTGATATTAGTAGTTACATCACATACCCTACCCACTCTCTCATTTGCTATATTGATAATTGTGATTAACAGTCAGGATAGGTCTAATACTACTGGGCTTGGCATATTTACTTTATAATACATATCAGTCATCTTTATTAGTGGAAATTAAAAAACAGTAGCAGAGCATAAGTGCAATACAAGCAGACTGGATAAGAACAAGATATTGGAATTCTTTATTTTGCCCTTGACAAACAAGTAATCACAAATATTGTTAGTTTACCTGTCCATCACGTAAACTGTTACACCTGTGCCATCGGAGCTCGCTGGAATAAGAATTCGAATAAGAAATGCTTTTAAAATTAGGTTGTAGGTGAGAGACCTTTTCATGTTGGAGCAAAAGTTTTAACTTTTAAACAACCCTCACATATGAACTTTCATGATAGTCTCCTTCCTACTTGTTCATGTGAATGAAGCTGTAACATTTTTGGCGACGCCGCAGGTGCGAAGCCTTATTTATATCATTCTTGTATGTGGTGCGCATGAGAGAAAACCTCACCTTTGTACGAGAACCGACCGTCGATGTTTAGCATCCTCTGGTTGGTGCGCACAAGGTTCTGGGACAGAGATGACATGGGTTTTACGACTGTGACATTTTGCGACATTTTACCGATGGAAAAATGCCTATATTTTCTTATTTGATTTAATGGGTTTAGAGTATGTAGTGATAACTTATTATTAGTTTTGGTTTATGTTTAAGAAATATGGGAGATATGACTTACCCATCCTGCCATGCGCTGCACGTGACACTTCTCTTCCGTCTCGTTCAGTTCTAGGGTATTTTCGGTACTCTCGTGCCCAGAGTGCCCTTTCACCACCTGGTTGGCCTCGATGTAGTCTACATCCGGGGACTCTCGGAGACGTTCGACGATACTGAACAAAAATGTATGAAAAAATACACAACGGTACCATAACCTTTATATAGTATGTTTATTCATAACGAATTTTGTTCCTAAATTATAACAGTTATATAATTAATCATAAGAAACAAGTAACGTTAGATATTTTAGGTTACGTCATATTTCAGTTGAGATTCATTGAATGCTTAATATATGGACAAATTCTTTAAATAGTGCCAGTTATGCACTGGTTACAAGTGTCCATACTTACCCCCTCGGTGCAGTAATGGTATAGCCCACCAGGTCACCAATGAGAAACTCGTGTTTCACGCGAGACTTGGCCAAGTCCGAGGTTTTGAAGATATGCTTCACTTTGTCCATATGGGCAGCTCCTAAGGATAGACGAATTGAGACAGATTATTTTTCTCGAGTAGGATAGCAGTTCAGCTTCGTTACGGCTTGCATTTTCCAACCAAGCACAGATGGTCACCTCTACTCTTCTCAATAAGTGTGCTGGGTTCTTTTACGTGCAGAGGTTTGACGTTTCAAGCTCCCACATACACGGCCCCCCTTGCTTGTATACCTCACCATCCAAAACTACATACATATGCGTCGTTATAGTGCTACGTTTCATTGCAAGAATTTGATATAGGTCGCAAGTTTTAGAAAGTACCGGAATGATGTGAACCGTACTGAAAGTTACCACTGAAAACTTTGTTTTTGTTTGTTTGTATGTTGTTACTCCGTGAAGGAGGTCAGGACCTCCGGACGGAGTGTTGTAATCGGCTGATTTTTCATGTTCGCAGTCAAAACACTGGGTTCTCTTCGTGTAATCGGCACGCAATTTTATACGCCGTCTGCGGGCATGCCCGTGTTGATGCACGAATGTGTATTTTTGCCGTTGCTGCTTTCGCGGTCAATGTAATATCGCAGACGCACCCCTACAATTACGAGGCGAATTGGAACGGTCCAGAAAAACGCGTTGTTTGGAATAGCGGGGGGAGGGTAAAAGTTCATGCAGATACGGGGTGGTTTTTATAAGTGGTTCCAGATGTTTTTGCCCATGGTTAAGAGATGCCAAGTTTTTTTGGAAGATGTTCGCAGCCAAAACGCATTTCTGCCGTACGTCGCATTTCTGTGTAATTTCGCATGTGGTGTTGCATTATGTCCGGGATGATGCACGTCTTTTTATTTTTACCGTAGCTGTTTTGATATTGGAGTAAATGGTTATTTTCGAAACATCCCTACTTTTACAATCCTGTGGAATAGACCGTAGGTTTAGGCAGTTGTCTGGTAGCAGAGGTACTGTAAGCAGATATCCTGGTTATCTGGCCGGCGGTAGTAACACTCGCGGTGCTTACCGCCACTGTTGCTGGAATTTGGCTTGTTCCAGGCGCGCTTAATTAGGTACAGGCACCGTAAGACGGTGGGGCTGTCTTTGTTACTAGACACGACCATGATAGTCCGATCTTTATGTGAATGCAATGATTGTGTGTGTGTAATTAAAATGAAGTTAGAACTTGAAGCACAGTATCTTTACACTAGTATCTTTACACGCCCTGGGAGCAGTAATGGATTTAGCTCTTTGTATGTTTTATGCTTGTGACGCGCCCTCATTGTATTAACCCACGCTCCTCCGCAGCGTCCGCTAGCGCGCTATAATTAAATCCACATCTGGGCGCGCGGCGGGGTCCCCAGAGCAACACAGTGCGGAAGCATTAGCGTGTATTTGTGTCCTGGGGCCGAGAACGCATTTTGCGCAAAGCATGCTGGGTAGCAGAGTGAACTGTCCTGGGGACGAGAGTTTGTGGCGCGGGCGGAGAATGCCAAAACTCCCTCCGTGGCTAAGTTCCTTCCGCGACTAACTCCCTTCTGGGCAAATGTAGAGGGATAACGGTACACCCTCATAGCGTCACCAAATGAGGTACTTTGTAAAGGTCCGTTTCATTTGGTATATATTACCATTGTGACAGCATTTTATACCCCAAAATAGGAATCTTGCGTCTTGTTTTAGGTCCCGATAGTAGAAAGAATGCAGTGTACATGTATTCAGATGGCCGCCGTGTAACGTTACGTACTAGCGAGCGCGCACGACAATACCGCCAGAGTAGAGTAGGTTATCCTAACCCTTTAGATAGCGCAAAGAAAACAAAAACGACAGATTTGCATTAAAGAAAGTTTATTTTCCATAGCCTGGGCTAAGCCACGATCTATAACCTATGGCTTCTCCACGGGCGCTGGGGACGAGCGTGGTGTTAACCGTTGCCTAATTATAATGTCTGCACAGTAGGTCTGGCGTTGACGCTTGGGATTTTGTTGAAATATATAAAACTTCACGGAGAATTGTCGCCTATGGCTTCTTGTTATTTTTTGTGACAAAGGAAGAAGTGTGTTCCTTACGTCCATCGTCAGTGATGTTGTTGCGCAGAACCACAATGTATTCATCCGCGATGGCAGTGTCATCGTCCGTGTTGTACAGAGGTGCTGAGAGGAAAAACAATATATTTCATCCATAACTGTAGTATGGAGTGAAATAAAATCATCCATACATATAGTATGAAGCGAAATGTGAAGAAAACTATCAACTTATGCACAAGTCATTATCGTAGTACATAGTGCGTCTATTGTACAGTATAGTTCTGCGTATGGCCTTACAAAAGCATCTATTCTGTACAGCTAGCTACAACCCAAACTTTTTTTGCCAACGTATACATTGCTACCCTTTTCACACTAGCTAGTCAAGTTGCAGGAACTCTTAGACATTGCAAGAAGCTGTGCACTGATATTTGGCAACCCATTCGGCGTATTACAGTAGTAGAGCCCTGTAGCTGCTTTAAGTCATTGAATTTTATAGAAAATGTGATAATCTCACAAGCTATTCTCACCTTTTGCACAGACGCATCCTACAAGTGTAAGAATGAAAACAGCCTTCATTGTCAACGTTTTTCGATGCTTGTCACCGATGTAAGTTAGAGTGTCAGCTTGCCCGGACTACGGTGGCTACACTACCAACCGACTGCAGCACATGACACGTTATACTGCTAACTGTTCCACGGCAATCCAAAGATTAGTCGAAGCCAATTTACTAACTAATTTACGTGCCTGTACGGCCTATGGAAACGGAGACTTTAGCAAATATTATAGTAGCACGACATTTTGTCTAATGCTGATTTATCAATTGTAGATATCAAAAGTCGTAAGAGCAAAGACAACATTACATGGGGAGTAGAATTGAAACGGTCGGTTAGAAGTTTGCTCAAATATCAAGACACGCCCAAATCTAAATGAAATTTTTGATAATTGATAGTTAGCTAGCTCAGGGTGGTACACGATTTTTTCTCTTCAATACATGCTTTAAGTGGCGTCAATGGCCTGGTGGTTAGGCTAGTGGACACGGGATCGAGAGGTCCCTGGTTCGATTCCTGGCAGTACTGTGTGGACTGTTTTGTCTTAAAGAAAGGACTTGTTTGAAAGGGCAACTATTGTGTCCAAAACCGTGCCTATCTAGTTCTAAACCTGAATGGGCTAGGGTTAGAATCAGGCACGGTTCTGGATACTGGTCTCCGCGTATCGTAGATTTGTCCCGGGCATGGTTCTGGATACATAGGCTCAGGCATGGTTCTGGATAACGAACGATTCTAGATACAACAGACTTTGGTTGGGGAGGTATATAATGAGGCAATGAATATAATGAAGGATGGTCACCGCCTTCCAATACTGGGCCCAAGGCACATTAACATGGTAAAAAAAACACTAGCACTAAGGAGTCAAAAATTTATGGTACCATGGTTTCAGGGACCCTCGATTGGAAACTTTTTTTCTTGGAAATAAAAATTAAATACTGATGTTCACGACCCAAAACTTACTTCGATTCAACCACTTTACTCCCGTGCGTATATATGTACTGACAAATACTCTAATAGAAAAGAATAGAATAGGAAGAATATATATCTGGATAGTTACGTGGCCTACGTGACCAAATCATGTTCTATTTGTGTTTCATCGCGAGCTCGGCACACACAAAGACGATTGACAAGAATGGAACAAAACTATGATTAAAGGTAACAAGCCGCCGGCACCTCCCCTGCTTCTACACAAGGGCTGTGTCAACAACCTGTGGCGGAGTGATATCCCACAATCAATGGAAAATGCTGTTCCACATCACCACTGTTATCCCTCCGAACAATCGAACAAGCTTCTAGCTTGGTACTTGTAGAAAAAAATATTCAATTTATAGTATTTCTTAGAAACAAAGCTTTGTCCTTGAATTATGACAAATTATTTGTAAAAATTAAATTGTTCTATGGTCTACAATATCATGGAATACGCTTGAAATGGTTTAGAGAAATATTGTTGCTTTGAACGTCAATGAGAATAGAAAGAACCAATGGCTCTCATTTTTTTAAAGCTTCAAGCTATTATGGTCATGACATAGTCTACTGCTACAGCAGATATGGGCGTCTTACGTAACAACTTGCAGTTCTGAAAAATGTCGACAGATAGCTCTCATGTATAGTCGATTGAAACATTTATTCTCCTCTTCTCGCAAAGAATTATGGAAGGAATCTTCATAAAAAAGGAAGCAAAATCAAGGATCAAATCCAGCAAACTGCTCCGCGTCTAGTACAGATTATGCATAAGAATGATGTGTTCTTCGCCAGCTACAATTTAGTGAAATGCAAATGCGGACACCAATATGGCGGACAGCTTTCGTTGCCATGGAACAATATATGTTGTTGGTCAAAGGCTGATATATGATTACTCATTTGACAAATGCTAGTAGCACACATCCCTTTGCCAAGCGGATTATAATTTTTGTTGCGAAATTTCTATCTTTGCACAGAATACCAAACAATGTTCATAACTTACTCTCATGTTGCTGTTATGTGGGTAGTGATTAAAGGATAAAGGGAGGGGGCTAGATTCCCGGAAACAATTATAACCACAGAGAACCTTGCCGTTCAATTTCCTGGAAATCGCCAAGTGATTATCTAATCAAACTACAGTACCAAAATACTGCAACCTCTATATTACACGGTTGTTAAACATAGGGTGTATTAGGTCAACTGTTTCTATTGTAGCAAAGTTTGCAAATTTGAAGACTTCCTGTCTTTAGCCTTTCATCTCTCACCGACTTTCCAGGACAATCTGATTGAATCACTCTCCACCAATCAGCTGTCCCCGTGGATGATTATATTACAGCAATCAAAAACCTCGTTACCCTACAATGGTCACCCCATTATGATAAATCATTGAAATAGGCCACAGTTCAGAACAAGGTATATTGAGACGTCCTCGGCTGTAGCTGATGGCAATTGAATTCTTGGAAAAGGCCAGGGGGAGACAAGCTGGCGAGAAAGATAGGTGGGAGGGGAAGAAGTATTGCCGGCCTTGCCCTTCTGTTTCCTTTTTCCCTGGAATTCAATTCTAGCCTGGGGCCAGCCGATTTGTAACGGCAACCCCGAAAAATTTTTTTCGAAAAAAAATCGGAGTTGGCGCTACAAATTGGATGGCACGTAGGCTAATTCAATTCATGCAGGATTCTAGATTCAATTGTTTTGGGTGTGGATATTTGTGTTTTTTCTTAGAGAGAGAGGGTTGATAGCATGATAGCACGTGGGTGAGAAGATTGACAGCAGAATGACAGGAGGTCAAAAGATCAGACACGGGAAATGAAGATATCATGAAAACCCAAAATACTTCTCGAAGTCTGAAATATCTGATTTCTTATATTTAATGGTAGTTGTAGGTAAAATCTTCAAAACAATAGCTTCTGTTGATTCACATGTTAACGTTGTATCTCTGTTTGTATTCACTACATGAAATCCAGCATTTAAGTCTTGCATAAAGGTTAGCTTTTTCCGTCTATTAAAAACGTAACCTTTACGTAAAACGGAACCTTTACGTGTGTTTTAAGATATGTTGAAGGATTAAATTTCATGGAGTGATTGTTCATTAGCCTCTACCAGGCACCGCGGATCGCTGGAAAAATAGTAGAAATTGGCCGAAATAAAGGGATAGTATACCAGAGAAGATCCAGGGCCATAGAAGCTCCAATTTGCGACCCACATTTTTCCAGCGATCCGCGGTGTCTGGTAGAGGCTAATTGTTCATCACTACACTGCCTAGAGAGATAGAACGCCCCAAACGTGTCTGAGAGAGAGGTGTAGCTAATTCTCGTCACTTCTTTTCTTCAAAAGTTTTCTCGTCTTCCGAAGAAGTATCGGGCTTATTGCTACGTTGGCAAACTTCCAGTAGCAGGTAAGAATACAAAATGGAGGTGGATTTGGTCCAAGATCCCTCTTCGATACGAGTATTGACGTACATCCGTTTCTGCCATTACGCACAGGGATAAGCAGTGTGGGTGAAACGCAACCTTCGTGATGAGTATTCAAATCAGCTCCTTCACTGCCTCGTCTGTCAGACCCGCATACCAAATATGGTTACCACACTTCTTGGTGTCGTGACCTCTGTTATGTTTTATTGTAAAACAACAGCAGATATGAGAATTAATCAATGAATTTTTTGTCAGATAGTTCATATTCATTCGTCATCAGCTTTGTCGACATTTACCGTATTGATTTTTGGCTACGTACGATCGTAAGTCCTCAATTTCCGCCAAAATATCCCACCATACGTCAGTATATGCTACTTTAAGAATGACACACCAACGTATTGACCGCACTTGCAGAACTTGTAACCAATAGGAGAAACGATCTCACCACAACCATGGATTCAGCACTAGGGACAGTCTCCACAGTAGTTATAAAAACGCTGTAGAGAGTTCCGGCCGTGCGGAAGTACTGTTTTGGGTGGCTCCGGGTTTGTGTATCTGCTTGTTCGGGGCGAGTAGGTTGACAGCACGTGGGTGAGAGGAAGATTGACAGTAGAATGACAGGAGCTCAAAAGGTCAGACACAGGAAATGAAGATGAAAATCATATCACGAAAACCCAAAATACTAGTACATTCCTGATCGAAGTCTGGCATCTCTATTTTTATGATATTTAATGGTAGATGTAGGTAATATTGCTTAGCATAAAGAATGTTATCAATGTAGAGATTTTGTTGCAAAATTTCGCGTTTATTTGCCGAACAAAAACGCAGCAACACAAACATGTCCCTGAATCTCGGCCACGAGGCTATTTTTAGCAACACGCTGGTGTGTATAACCGGCCATTGCCATGTTTGTTTTTCTTCCTAGCGCTGAAGGTCACGTTATGAAAAGCCACAGGGATATGTTCAAGGTCAAAGGCATAACGGTTCCTTCTGAGAAAAACAAGTACTTATAAGGGAAGGTGAAGTGCCTGGGGTTACAGTGTTGAGCTGGGGCTCCCGATCGCGAGCTGCACTCAATAGACTTTTAGTAGTGGTATTATATTTGTGACAGAAAAATTATTTCGACTCTCCTTTCAGAGTGGACACACATGGAATAGCTTATTACCTTCGTGAACGGAGGTATTGTATTGTTTGCTGGTTCGTTTCTTTGCTGTAAAGCCGTAATGCTCACAATGAAGATTACAGAAATCATTGGGAAATTACAACAACGTGAATTATATGTCCTCCGTATAAGGCAAAAGGAATAATGCAGAATAGAAGGAAAAGGGCGTAAGCGTTGACTCACTATACATAGAGGGCAAGGTCGTCTGAATTGATTGGATGAACACATATAAAAAAACGTGCGTGGGGCCACGTAAGTCAAGCCATATTGTGATATTTTTTTTTTTATTCCGAAACATGTAATCACAAGACGTGGTGACGACACACTCAAGTTTTTTCAACTTGTATTAATGCCGAAACCAACACAGGGACAGTACAATACTCATTTACACCTGAGCGAAGTGAGGAAAGTCGTGTAAAGTGCCTTTCCCAAGGGCACAAGATCGGTGGCATGTCAGGACTCGAACCCGGGGCCTCTGGTTCCGAGTCGAGAACGCTGCCGCTGCGCCACACGACCCCACATATTGTGATATACAGGGAGAACCTGAGTACAAAGCAGCTTACGTAAACCCACAGGTCAAGAATAAACGGGGATGGGAGTTGGT